CGCCGCCGCCTCGGCCCGAAGGGTCTTCCTCGCTGACGACGATGTCCAGCTTGGGCACCTCCGGAGAGCCCGACGGCACGTGGATGTAGTTGGCCATGAAGGAGGCGGGAGAAGGAAAAAGAGGAGGACGAGGAGGAGAAGAAGAAGGCGCGAGCGAGCGGGGCTTTCGGAGCCCCAACGGCCACGGCACGAGACAGCGGCGGCGGCGGAGGAAGAGGAGGAGGAGGGACCCAGGCAAGAACAGCAGCGCCGTCGTCGTCGTCGTCACGCGAGTGGCGAAGCCGGCAACTGAGAGCCGCCAGACCAGCGGGTGGGGAAGAGGAGGAGGGGAGAGGAGGGGCGGGGCCCAAGCCGGAGGCTGGACTATTTTTTTCCTTCCCTTTCCTCCTATCGCCTTTCCTCGTCCTTAGATGGAAGGCCCTAAGCCCCGCCCCTTCATTTAAATATTTTTTTAAAACGCTCTCTTCCCACAGAAGGCTAATTTCAGCGGAGCCTTCCAAGCGCAGGGCAGCCTGGGTTGGGTGAGTGGGCGGGGCTCTCGCTGGGAGAGGAGGGGGCGGGGCGGGGCGCGCGGGACTTTCCTCCCTTGGCCGTGGAACGCGGGCTGGTGGTTTTACCTCCTCTTTCCCCCCCCCCTGAAGTTTCAATTAAACGCAAGGCAAATGATACGGCATTCAGGCTTTGGGGAAAGGAAGGGGTCCTCTTAGGGCCTCTCCCTGGGTGGCTGCGCTTCCTGATCTGAGCCTCCTGCCAGAAACGAGTACTGTAATCTGAAGCCGCTACAGTTGCCCTTTTGTTGTATATAGAGCAGCCCCTAGGTATGTTTAGTAAAGATCCTGTTAGAGCTAAAGTCCTCTCTTCGTTTACTTGGGAGTGCAAAAGGCCTAGCAGAGTTGCCACAAGTCACTTCTGACATAACAACTGGACTCATACACGCACAAAAGTATGCCCCTCCAGGGATGGAATTCCCATCATTTCTCTGCATTGGCTATGGTGGCTGTTGTTGTTTAGTCGTGCCCGACTCTTTGTGACCCCATGGACCAGAGCACGGCAGGCCCTCCTATCTTCCACTGCCTCCCGGAGTTTGATCAAATTCGTGTTGGTCGCTTCAATGACACTGTCCAACCATCTCAACCTCTGTCGTCCCCTTCTCCTCTTGCCTTCACACTTCCCCAACATCAGGGTCTTTTCCAGGGAGTCTTCTCTTCTCATGAGATGGCCAATGTATTGGAGCCTCAGCTTCAGGATCTCTCCTTCCAGTGAACACTCAGGGTTGATTTCCTTCAGAATGGATAAGTTTCTTCTCCTTGCTCTCCAGGGGTCTCTCAAGAGTCTCCTCCAGCACCACAATTAAAAAGCATCAATTCTTCGGAGGTCAGCCTTCTTTAGAGCTGGACCATAAAGAAGGCTGACCACCGAAGAATTTATGCTTTTGAATTGTGGTGGCTCAATAGAAAGGCAACAGCGGTGGTGGCTAGTTTGACCCAACTCTGAGAGGCAGTGGAATACAGGAGGGCCTGGCATGCACTGGTCCACGGGGTCATAAAGAGTCGGACACGACTAAACCACTAAACAACGACAAAAAGGTGGCTGGAGCTGATGGGCACTGTAGCCCCCATACCAGCTGAAAGACCACATACAGTATTTCCCACCTTTGCTGCTCTAATGGAGAAGGGAAGTGGGCAGTAGTAGGTGGCTTGCGTATAATACTAATATGCACTCTTCAGCTGCATTTATGTTAAGTCTTCCTTAACAAGGTTCCTCTTAGATTTTTCAGCAACAACTCCTGTAAGATCTAACAGTTAGCAATGGTAGCTAGGGCTGATGGAAAGGTAACAGACCAGTAAAAGCTGAGACAACTACTCATACACAGACACACCTGTTTGTCTATTTGCGGGAGGGTAGCTTGTTCTTATGGAACCTTAAAAACTAACAGATTATATTTCTTATAAGCCTTCATGGACTTCTTCAGATGTAAATATACAGTGTGAGCCCCACCAGCCCTAGCTGGCAGTACAAATAAATGTTTGAGTGACTTCTCGGGGCAGGGAAGGGTAGTTCCCTTCACTTCCCGTAAGTCAGAGTCCGAGAGCTGCTAATCCACTCTTTCCTATTGTGGCACTCCACGTTGGCCAAAACTACAAGGCTTACAATAAGAAGGGGCAGTATGTCCACATTGATTGCAGCAAAGGGAGCTCCTTTCCTCCTCCTCTGTCTAAGTGTCTTGACCCTGACACTCCTGCTGGCATGGTCGAACCTGGATGATGGTCAGTTCCCCCACACACACATCTGGCTTCATGGGGACACTGTCTCTTGCTCCTTATTTCCATTCTTCCCAATAATGGGGCTGGGGATTGAGATGCTTCGTTGCCTTCCCTTTAGGTACTCAGAGCTGACCGATGCCCCAGTCCAAAGGTCTTCTTTGTAAATGTAATCCCACTCCCCTGGTGACTCGGGGTGGGGTCTTCCTCCCCCTGGAATCCCTCATCTGGTTCCTCCGAGGAATTCCCCCCAGGTCCCTTCTTCAACCTCCTCTACCAGGACAGCAGGTAGCCATCCCAAGTCTGGACTCTCTGCTCTACCTTCTCCCTCTCCTCTCTTCATAAGGTCTCCTTCTCTACCTCCAGCACCTCCCTCATATTCCCCAGCTCTCAGGGCCACGTTCTCCCTAAGGGTCTCCCCTCCTCTCCCGGGCTTTGTTGTGTCCTCTAAAGATTGGGGTCCTGAGAGAAATCTCCAGTTATGGCTTTGCTTACAAAAGAAAGGTGAACAGAAGAGTTTTAAAAAGGAAGAGCAGAACTGAAGCGATAAGGGCCTGGGAAATTAGCCTGAGGAAGAATGAGTCTGAGAGCTTCTTTAGCAGAAAGGGTTCTGATGGACTCCATTCCAAGACTGGGAAGGCCTGGCCAAGTTGACCTGATGGCAGACAACAGGACTGTGAGCGATGCTGGGCAACAGGGTCATTGTAAATTTCCTGCAATGTCCCAGAGTGATGTTCTGTTGAGGGGGGAGGCATTTTTGTGGAAAATTAATATCCCCACCCAAATCCAGTGACCCAACACAACAGGGGCATTCGAAGAGCGAGGTTGTGTCACAACAACCAAGCCAGCATCACCATAAGAAAAGGAAACTAGAACATGAGTGTTGGGTTTCAGGCAAAGGTAAAGCTTGAACATTTACCTCAGAAGTAATCAAGTGTAATGACAAGGTGAGCCCATCCATAATAAGAAACCAGAGCATCACCCTACTACTGCTCAGTTATGGGTGGCTTCTATATATTATGATATTAATTCATCTTAAAAGTGGATGTCACGTCTGTGCTGGGCTCTGGAGGAATGAGTAGAGGAGGAGAAGGCCAGAAGCAATGGTTTAAATGGTAAAGAACTGAGAGAGAATAGGCTGAAGCAAGAGTTAAAGTTTCCGTAACTCCTGGTTAGGTAAGGTGAGATTGGCTGAATGTCAGGTATTGATTTGAAATTGACTTAAGGAGCGGTGGCAGCCGCCGCCACCAAATCATTAGCAAAAGGCCACTAGTATAATTTACCTAGCTAACTTTCATTGTTGTAGCAGCATGAAAGATTTGAAGGACTCATGGAACAGATGTTATTCAGCCAGTTGGGAAAGAGGGAGTGGAATGCAATTATATAGATATTTTCGTTCTTTATTATTTATCTAACTTATTTATTTTGACCAAACTCCAGGAGGCGGTGGAAGACAGGAGGGCCTGGCGTGCTCTGGTCCATGGGGTCACAAAGAGTCGGACACAACTTAACAACTAAACAACAAACTTATTTATACCCCACCTTTCTCCTGAAAGGAACCGAGGTGGCTTACAGTATTTTTTTTTAAAAAAAAAACAACAACCAAGAGTTTAAAATAGCATTGTTGTTTTAAATCCTATCTTTCTTTTACAACAGAAGAACTGAAGTTGACCAGTGAGAGATATTGTAAAGATGAACAGGTCAAATCAGGCTGGTAGAAAGGTTGTTCCCCTCTACTCCCACGGCTGAGCAGTTGACCAATGGTGTCTGAGAGGCAGGAGGTAGGAGTTGATCCTGGGAAGCCAATGGAAAAGACATCATTCTGTTCTACTCCTTGGAAACCCAGCTGCCCAATCACAATTTGATTAATCACAATCATATCTCTTGTGCAACCTTCCATACTTTTAAAATTAACTCTCAGTTATCAGGATGGGACATTTTAGGCCTCCTGGATCATGAAAAACAGAGAATCTACACCAAATTGGATCTACAGTGTAGGCATTTTGTATTGTCATCCAAAGTACAGTGATGCCTCGCAAGATGAAAATAATTCGTTCCGTGAGTTGTTTCGTATTGCAATAATTTTGTCTTGCGAAGCGTGGTTTCCCATAGGAATGCATTTAAATTTAATTAATGCATTCCTATCTGTCTTGTGAAGCACGGCCATAGAAAAATTTGTCTTGTGAGTCACCAAAAATCGCAAAACGCTTTTGTCTTGTGAGTTTTTCATTGTGCGAGGCATTCGTCTTGCGAGGCATCACTGTATTGCAAACAGTGTCATTGAATTTCATCTGCTTGCCATGAGACTAAGTGTTTTTCATTAAGAAAAAAATTGCAGAGATCATCAGAGTGCCTTTGGGTCCCAGCCACAGTAACATACTGGGCCCAAAGTTCCCTCTACGATGCATGGGTGCACCAGCATGCATGACTCCATCCCCTCCACATAGGACTCCTCCTCCATGCACCCACAGCAAAAGTTTACGCCTCTTTGGTTCCTGGTGGGGGGCAGAGTCTCACATGCAGGGGGGGAGTGGAGCCATGCAAGAGAGGGGCGGAACCTCACCCAGCAGGGCTGAAAATTAGAGGGAATGTTGACTGGAACAAAAAAAAAATTCACACACCAGCTTTGCATGAACTGTGATGCTAAGAAGCAGAAGTGGCATATTCTGACTACCAGTATCTCCATTCAAATTATGAGTGGAATTAGAAAATACAAGAACTGTGCATTCAACCCTTCATTAGGGATGTACATTTTGGATTACAAATCCCATAATTCTCTATTCTGGGAGTCCCACCTGCCAGACCTGATGGAGACCTAAATTGTGTTCACCTCGAAAGGAGGCTGCGCTGGCAGGCCTCATGGATTGGATAGGCGTAACGTCCTGTTTGAAAAGGAAGCTTCCCAGTAGCGATGTGCCAGGTGTCCTGGCGGTCCATTCCCAACCTCCCCCAGAACCAGCACAGGCTCCATGTGGCACCTGCATCCAACAACACTGGCGCAGTCCTGCTGGCGCTTCCCTGCAGCTGACTGCTCAGCACCTGAGCAGGGAGATGTGTCTTCTTACCTCCTTGCTGGAATAGTTGGCTGCAGTGAGAAGCAGGGAAGCACCAGCAGCACAGAGCCCGGTAAGTGGACCAGGCTGG